GATTGAGTATTCAACTCATGGTTTAAGAAGTATACATCAAAGAATTGTTTGTTTATTCTACACAAAAGAGAGAGTTGTTCTTCGGTGAATTCTGAAGAATTCGAGTCTGAAGCTTTGGTGGATTCTAGAGTGGCTCATCGTCAAGACAATTCCGAGGTGAAAACGGGGCTGGAAGAGGCATATAGGGGTTGGTTCAATTCGGGCGTGGATTTGCTAGGTAATTGAGAGTATACGTGTGTAATTCCTTTATGTCTTTTTAGTAGATTGTTTTGTGACTTTTGCCCGTGATTTTTTTTTTATCACAATTAGAGGTGTCCAATTGTGGTTTTTTCACGTAAAATCGTTGTGTCGATTTGTCTTGATTGTTTGATTGAGATTGTTATATACTGCTTAAAATTGATACATAATCACAAATCAACATCTAGGGGGTTTCTAGTTTTATCAATTGGTATCAAAGCAGGTTGCTCTATTATTGTTTAAAACTGTTAGAGCGAGATCTTATTTGATTTGTGATAATGGATTCAATTCGTGAGGAAAATTCTATGGTTCGACCACCCCTACCTAACGGATCCAATTAGTCTTTTTGGAAAGCTCGGATGAGATCGCTTTTAAAATCTATTGATGAAAAAGTTTAGCAATCTGTCGTGTATGGATGGACAAAACCAACGATTACCGTTGATGGAGTAACTTTTCCCCAACCAATTGATAAATGGGACACAATTGATTACCAAAATAGTAGTTGGAATAGTAAAGCTATCAATTCTCTCTTTTGCGCTGTCACACCTGAAGAGTTTAGTCGTATTTGCAATTGTGAAATCGCAAAAGAAGCTTGGGATATCTTACAAACTATTCATGAGGGCACTCCTTCTGTTAAACGCTCAAAACTTTAAAGGCTCACGTCTAGTTTCAAAAACCTTTAAATGAAAGATAGTGAGACCTTTGATGAATTTCATGCAAAGTTGAGTGATATTGTAAATTCCAACTTCAATTTAGATGAAAAAATACCGGAATCCAAGATTGTAGGAAAAATTTTGAGATCCTTGCCTGCTCGGTTCCAACCAAAAGTTACGGCTATTGAGGAGGCTCAAGATGTTGACAACCTCGAGCTAGATCATTTGGTTGGAAATCTCCAAACTTATGAGACACATAGGAATTTCAAAAAGAAACAAAAAGATGTTGCTTTTAGTAATGCTCATAAAGTTAGAGAGGGTTCTGATGAGGATTGTGAGATAGATTCCAAGATTATGGATGCTTTTGTAAAATAATTTAAAAAATCTTTTCTGAAAAAGAATCCTCATCTTTTGGAATCTACTCATACTCATAAATCTAAAGGCAAAGATAAACTGAAAATTAATTCTATAGCCAAGAAGGAGAAATGAAAGATACAAGGGAACTCTGAAAGAGTCCACTACTATGAATGCCAAGGATTTGGCCACTTTGCTCAAGAATGCCCCACTCGTTTGAGGAAGAAGAAAGCCCTCGCTATCACTTGGGATGATGAATCAGAATCTGATAAAGATGAAAGTGACAATGAAGATCAAGGCGAAGAGGGACATAAACAATTCCTTGCTTTCATGGCAACTTCTGAAACTGAAGGACGAACAGAGTATCCGAAGAGGCTGGTTGAGAATGACACTGATGATGAATCTTCGGGGAGTGATGATGAAGAGCTTGAGCAAGCTTATGAAAAGTTGAACAAGGAATCTCTTGACTTATCCAAATTGAATGACAGACTCACTATGAAACTCAAAGCATGTGAAAGTGAGAATGTCAAACTAAAGGAGGAGATTTCCGAGGCTAGGATTGATGCCATCAAGATAGCTAATGATCGACAAGCTCTTTGTGCAAAACTCTTGACTTGTGAGACAAAGAGGAATGAGCGACAGCAAATCTATGCAATGTATAAAGAAAAGATTAAATCTCTTGAGATGTCTCAAGTTGCTTTGGAAAAACTAATGATCAAGAAAGAAGAAGAGCTCAAGTGTGCTATGGCAACCATTGGTCTTTGGAACAAAGGATCAAAGACTTTGGACAATATCATTGGGTCTCAACAAATTTGTTCTGACAAGAGTGGCATTGGCTTTGATGGTAAGAAAGGGCAAAAACAGTGTGCATCCACATCTCATGATACAAGAACTCAAGGAAAGGGAGAACAAAAAGTTTAACATTAGGATAGACTTCTCAAACTTCCTAGAGTTGGTAAGGCCAAAGAAGAGAAGGTACACCTTGTTTTTATTTGTCATCATTGTGGCATGTATGGTCATATCCGCCCTTATTGTTATGAGTTGCATGGGAGAGTGTCTCGTAGAGATGGAAGAAATTCCAACATCTCGTGGGATAGGAGACACTTCATTGGTCATAATGAGATTAAAGGTCATATTAGCCCTCGTTACTTTGATTTGCTTGAGACCAAACATGGAGCGAGTTTGCATTTACCTAGACCTAGAAGTAGGAAGTTGGAAATCACGTCGAGACGGGTTCCCATTGAAAGGGAAGGGAACCACAACGTCAAGACACCACCCAAGAACCGCAATTCTCACAACTTTGTTCATACTAAAGCAGTTCGGGTGAGAAAACTTGACCTGTGTTAATTTGTTTATTCATTTTAGTTTTTAGGTTTCTGTGTGTTTTTTTTTTCTTTTTAAGTCTTTAAATGTGTGCTTGTTCATTTTTTATTAAGTCTTGCTTTGTTTTAGAAAAGAAAAAAAAAATGAAAAAGATTTTCTTAATATGATTTTGCAAGCTTGAAATTTTTGAGTAGTTCTTGTTACATATTAGAATTGATGAGAATATCCATTACATGTTAATATGTGTGTGCTTTCTATGGTCATTACTCATTTTGGAGTGTGTGTTTTTTGATTAGTATGTCTCATTCTGTACACACTCTTGGATTAACAAATATCGGAGTCTTCCGCCTTAGTAATTTTTTTTCTCTATGGACTTCTGACATTGTATCTTTTGCTTTTCTAGAGGAATTGACCTATACTAGCATATCATGGGTGATGTTAAGTCTCTTAACCATCTTCCATCTTTTTGCATCTCCATGGCTTTCCCCTCTGTTCTTTGTAGTCCAGGCATGAGGAAAAGGCTACCTTAGAGTCACCAACCAAGCTATCCTTATTATATCCATGCTTCTCTAGTTCGGTTTTCATACTCTTGAGCATGTCAGCCGCCAATGAGTGTGCAAAAGAAAAGAAAAAAAATGTGCACAAGTAAGAAAAGGAAAAAATGTGCAAAAGAAAGAAAAAAAAAATGTGCAAAAGAAAGAAAGAAAAAGATTCATTGATTGAGGGGCCTCCGCTTTTACTTACCAAATACCCCTTGATTCCTAGTGGTTTGACTTTCCTTTGTTGTGCTTAGATTCTCTTGTCGGAGGTCCAACTTTCAGATCACTACTAGGATTGAATCTAGTGTTTGTCGAACTCCAAGAGTCACACACACACTTTTCTCATGGGATCTATGCTTTTCACATAATGCATCACTTTCTTTTATGAGGAATCTTCTAGAGGCTGTGCACATTGTGTTTTCAAGTAATTGTACTTCTTGGATAGTCTTGTGTGTTTTAAGGTACTAATCTGAAATTCCTTACTTGTTCCACCATATTATTTTTGTCGTTTTCTTCCTGTTCATTGTTTTCAATGTTTGTGGTTGTTTTTCGTGAGGGGGAGTTTGGTTTATCATTGGAAGAGCTTGTTAACATGAACTCTTTGAATTGTTTTGGTAAAGGATATTGGCCTTAGTTGTGTTGCATGTTGCTATGCACTGCTTCTTTCTTGTTCCCTTCTTGCATGCTATAGTTGTTTAAGCTTCCTTTGTCAATTCGTGACAAAAAGGGGGAGTTATGTTGTTGGGTGCATGTGTCTTAGGTTTTCATGTTTTTCATCTCATGCTTCAAGATAATCTAGTCATATGTTTATTGTTTTTTCCTATACTCTTGTGGCACTAATAGTTATTTTGGAGATTGTGGCACTAATAGTTGTTTTGCAGATCATGACCTTGAGAAAGAAGTTTGCGTTTGTTGGCTGTAATGGGTGGGGGTGATTAGGATTTTATGTGCTAGATGTGTTTTGTCACGGCATTGCCAAAGGGGGGAGATTGTTAGGTTTTTATTCTTGGTTATCCCATTTGACAAAACTCCTTTCAATTGTACTTTTTTTCGCACTTTTTATTTCAGGGAGGCTATGAGTTTTTAGATGCAAATCCAACCCGAGTTGTGCGTTGCAGAGAAGTTTGTGATGTTAATTCTTTCAAGATTGCCACTTCGTTGACTAGGACGGGGATCGAGCTGCTTAGTCAACTCGCGGAGGTCCAAGGGGCAGCACCCTTGGCGGGTCTGGGGCAGCGCCACGGCGGGGTTGCGGGGCAGCGCCTCCGAAGCAAAATGCAAAAATGCATTCAAAATTTCCTGTCCGCTCGAGCGAACATTCCCCCGCTCGAGCGGAGAATCCTTGGTTCTAGAAATTTGATCGCCTGCCGCGAGATGTTTTTTCCCGCTCAAGCGGCCATTTTTACACTCGAGCGGAGATCGCGGGACACTTTTCTATAAATACGTGATTCAGTCATATTTTAGGGTCACGCCTCCAGATCATCTTCTTGGTTCTAGGGTTTATATCTGGGGCTATTTTGCTAGTTTTCTTTGATGTTTTGATTGAGTATTCAACTCATGGTTTAAGAAGTATACATCAAAGGATTATTTGTTTATTCTACACAAAAGAGAGAGTTGTTCTTCGGTGGATTCTGAAGAATTCGAGTCTGAAGCTTTGGTGGATTTTGGAGTGGCTCATCGTCAAGACAATTCCGAGGTGAAGACGGGACTGGAAGAGGCACATAGGGGTTGGCTCAATTCGAGCGTTGATTCGCTAGGTAATTGAAAGTATACCTGTGTAATTCCTTTATGTCTTTTTAGTGGATTGTTTTGTAGCTTTTGCCCGTGGTTTTTTTATCACAATTGGAGGTGTCTAATTTTGGTTTTTTCACGTAAAATCGTTGTGTCGATTTGTCTTGATTGTTTGATTAGGATTGTTATATACTGCTTAAAATTGATACATAATCACAAATCAACATCTAAGGGGTTTCTAGATTTTTCAAGTGTGATCATCAAATGTTGGACTGGGACTCCATTGAGGATACTAGTGCTTTTCAACAACAATAATATTTTGTCCCCCCATATCACGAGGAGGTGGTGACCGTGCTTCATGATGCTATCTACGTGGCCTCAAACTCCATACAGCTCAATGAGTGAAGATGATAATTACCTTGACATTTTCAAGGTTTTATCAAACATTGTCCAACTTTAACCATTCCCTACAACCTTGCAACAGTCCACACCCTCACCCACCACCACTAGTGTCTCATTACCAATGTTAGACAAAGACAAAGGGGAATCATCAAGAAAAGCCAAAATCAAGGATGGTGATGAATTGGAGGAGTATCCATGGACTCCAAGCAAAGTGAGTACATTTCCTTCCTTGGGTTGATACTACGGTTTTAAATATCACATGAAAAATTATCCAAAATTTTAATTTTATCTAGAATTTAAATGTATGAATACAATTTATTTTGCATATAGCACACAATAGACTAACTTCAAATTCTACATCTTACACTTTACTTTCATATTGTAAAATTCTAGATAAATTTTCATAGTAACTGGAATTATTCTTTATATATCAGCTGATATATTGGGATTTCAAATTTTCAATATTAGTATTCTTTGATATATCGATTGAAAATCAAGTTGGCTATTCCTTTTGTTGTCCTCTGGTCCACTTGGAAATATAGAAATGAATGTGTTTTCAATGGCTCTCAACTAACCAAGAAGTGCCCTGTGACCTTGTTAAGGTGAGAATAACATTGTGGGTTAAGGCTTCATCACCCTCTTTGGTGTTTTCTGTTAATGACATTGTATCAAACCTACAACAGGTCTTATTTTGCCTTAGAAATGGTGGCTGAGCTGCTATCTCTTTCGTTCCCTTTTGAGGGTACTAGTAAATGGTTGCTGCTGTGATGGTATCTGGTGCTGGTCTGCTATGCTCTGGTTGCTGCTGTGATGGTCTCCTTTTTGGGCGTTTTGCTTCTTCATGCTGGACTGCTATGCTTAGGTGCTAGTAAATGGTAGGATGGCTGATTGGCTGAGTTAGGATATTGTGTGGGTTGGTCTGTCCTAGATAAATGGCCGAATGTTTGTGTTGGGTGGCTAAATGGCTGTATGACTTTGATGCTAGACTGCTTTGCTTAGATGCCTAGATGCTTAGATGCTGGTCTGTGCTATTGTTGTTGTGTTGGTTGGTCTACCTTCTCATTGGTTTCTTACAAACTCTGGGGATGCTAGCAAATAATAGGATGGATTTTTTGGTGCCAACCTAGTTGGGATGATTTAGCTCATTGTGATGCTTTTACAGACCCTTTTTTTTTATTGATGTAATTTGCTTTGTACTTGTACTTGTTTATTCCATCAATAAAGTTTCTTTTATGTCAATAAAAAAAAACGATATATCGATTGAGATTACCTGATAAATATGATCATATTATCCATAATAATTAATACACACAAATATATAAAAGTCTAGCGACTTCATACAAGTATCTTACATCAGTGTTTTTCTATTTTTGTTTTGTTTTTGTTTATGTGTGGATATTTGCCCCTTATTGTGGCTTTAGGGGACTGCAAGGTCTACAGCATCAAAAGATACCAAGATGACAAGCAGCCTAAAAGGACTCGTTCGGCTGCAACACATAATATGTCAGAGAGGGTAAGCCAAAATACCATCCTATAACTTCATTTATTGCCATTGTTTGTTTGTTTGTTTGTTTGTTTGTTTGTTTTTTCTTTTGTTTTTTGTGGATAATATGAGACTCTAGTCTAGGAAGGGGAGGCTAGTCAAAAACAAAACTCAAATTCATATCTTTCTAATTAAATATAAGTGTCCAACTTAGTTTTAAATATTGGCTGATAAAATACATATTAAAACTTTTGTACTTTATTAATATTCATTTCCATCGTTTAAAACTATACAGTCTAGTTGATTTTTGCATTATGTACTGTTTTAGGCATAGTTATATGTAGTTGCTAAATCTTTTTCTTCTTATTCTTCCAATTGTAACGTAGGGTTTAAATTGCCAAAAGCGCTTCTTTATCCTTTTTTTTTATTTTTTTCTCCTTCCTATTGTTTTTTTTTTGTAATATATAACAATGGTGTTATTAATTTGCATGGTGATAAAAGTAAACAAGACTCATCACTCATCTAGTCTGCATTGTATTCATGATATGTGTTCTCAACAGATGTGTGGGGATCGGATTAGATGCAAGATAAGAGAACTTTAAGAACTGGTTCCCAACTATTACAAGGTATGTCGTTTGTGCTACTTTTTTTACATGCATAAAATTCGATCACAGAATTTGTATATAAAATCTCTTTTATGAATAGAACTTATATATTTGGTGGGATCCACTCATATGATGAGAAAGATTATTTTTAATTATGTAATTGAATTGTGTGGTCCTTTATATTATGTTTAACATGGTTTACGTTGTTCCTGCAACATAACCTTGGAAACAAGTAAAACAATTTTTGTTTGTACGTTGGTAAGTTCCAAATTAGGACCTGTGAATTTGGTCGTTTGCATATCATGCCTCGTAAACTCTCTGTGTGTTCCAAATTCCAATTAAAACTGGACAAAACTAAGACCAAAGCTGAATATATAATAAAACCGAAAAGAAATAGACGGAAACAAGAAGAAGAAAACCAACTCCTTGGCTAGCTGGCAGTTAGTTATAAACTGTCAATTTTTTATTTTTTTATCGGTAGAAGGTAATATTTATTAAAAAAAAATAAAGTAGAGCATGAATAGGTATCAATAAGCAAATAGTTTATTCTAAATAGGATGCTTCAAACATGCCATCCAAAAGAACTGTTAAACGATAGAGTCCAATCAGAAAAAACAAAATTCTTAATACAACCTAAACTCAAACATCCATATTATCCTAAAAGATCTAACTCAATTACTCTACGGTCTTCAAAATACATTTAGAATCTGTCAACCAAAATACGTTTAGATTCTTTCAAACATTATTTTTCTTTCCATTATCTTCTTTGAATCTCCAAAACACAGTTATACCTGTCATTGTCAATGTTTTTTTTTTAATTTTTTTTTCCAAACAAAGTAAAAATATTATTAAAAGCATAAAATTAAAGGTTTAAGGAAAAATGATGCACTGAGAGAGATTCAGATAATACAAACTGTTATACTACTACTACTCGCATTTTTACGAATTGTAACTGTATATTCATTGACGTTGAGAACTTAAAATAAATAATGAAATTGGCATCCTTCTCTCTCTAATAATTTAAGTTTTTAGATGAGCTGATAACCAACAATCTAATATGGTATAAGAGATTATACATTTTATGTTCAAACCTCACCGTCTAAACAAATCTAAAATTTAGACTCATACTTATATTGGCCCATTTATGAACGAGTGACACTCACTTGTTATAGATAGACAATATATTTTGAAGATTAAGGGAATTATAATATAGCTAAGAAAATCCATTCCAACTAGGTTGGTACCGATCAACTAGCCTAATTATATGCAAGCACAAGTCAGAAGCAGACTTGCAAGATGGAAAAGGAAGCTGCTATCATTCTCAGGGAGGCTCACTCTTATAAAATATGTGTCCTCTGCGCTGCCTCTGTTCTATCTATCTTTATTTAAAATGCCTGTAGAGGTAGCTAGAGAATTTGAGAAGCTACAGGCTACCTTCCTTTGGGGAGGGTCAGAGTCAAGAAAACCAATTCACCTGGTTAAATGGAAAGAATTAACAAAGAATGTGAAGCAGGGGGGTTTAGGTATTAGGAGAGTTAGGTTGGTTAATGATTGTATGCCACTAAAATGGTGGTGGAGATTTGGCTCAGAGAAAGATGCTTTGTGGAGAAAAATTATCTGCAGCAAGTATAACATGGATGAAAAAAGTTGGTATCCCTCTTCTTTCTTTCCCTAGCAGCAGGTTCTCTAGTGTATGGAAATGTATCATATCTATACCAGAGAGGAGGAATAGTCTGATGGTGTTCTATCTTAATAATGTTCATATCAAGGTAGGAGATGGTAAAAGAACCAATTTCTGGAAGGACAAATGGTACAGCAATTCTTGCTTGAAAGATGAATTTCCAATTCTTTATAGATTAGTGATGCAGAAGGAGGAAACCCTGAGATCAATGTATGTCAGGAGGGTAGATTCAGGGGTTTGGAACTTTCAATTAAGAAGGATGTTGTATGAGTGGGAAGAGAGGGAAGTTTGTAGGCTCAAGTTGCTCCTGGTTTCTGCATCTGATCCATGTATTGATCTGGAGGACAAAATAGTCTGGTTGGCTGAAGGATCTGGCCTATTCTCTGTCTCCTCTATTTATAAAAATGAAATTGACTCCCTTAGCCCCTCTCTTATTTCTTGTAAGTTTGTCTGGAACTCTTTTGCCCCTCCAAAGGTTCAATTTTTCTGTTGGCTAGCATGGAAAAACAGAGTCAAGTCAGCTGAATTTCTTCAGAAATTGGAGTGATTCAAGCTAATGCTCCTGCTCTCTGTGTTTTCTGTAAAGCTGAGGCTGAATCTTCCAGTCATGTCTTGCTGCATTGCCATTTTGCATGGAAGGTTTGGGCTGCTATGATGGATTGATGGGAGTTGCAGGGGGCCCTTCCAAGTTCAGTCGAAGATATATTTCATTGGTGGGATTGTGTGAATTTGAACAGGAAAGAAAAATGGATATGGAAGGTCACTCCCTTGGCTGTCCTATGGTCTCTGTAGAAGCTTAGAAATGAGTGCATTTTCGAATCTGCTACGCCTCATTTAGTGGACCTGTATGAGTTGATTAAAATCAGAGTTGCACTGTGGCTGAAACAAAGATTCAAGGATTTTCATTTTACTGCACAAGACTTTTTGACCAATCTGAGGCAAATAAGATGGAGTTTGGGGAGTAGATCTGTTTTGGGCTGCTGATATTGATCTGATTCTGTTTTGGGTTACTGTTCTGGGATATTGTTGATCTTTATCATTAAAGTTTGTTCTGGGCTACTGCAGGTTTGGAGTTTGGGGTGTACAACTGTTTTATGTAGGGCTGGTTACATCTGTTATGGGATGGTTCTGTTCGGGGCTGCTGGTATGGTGTTTGGGGAGTTCAACTGTTTTATGCTTTCTTCTGGGTTGGTGCCTTACCAACTGTGTTCTCTGTCTTTTTATTGATTTTGTCAATGTTTTTGCTTGATTATTATCAATAAAATTCCTCTTTGGTTGTTTCAAAAAAAAATATATATGCAAGCACAGTACCAAAGTTGGTGAGGACCAACAAAGCAAACCCAAAGATACATCAAACAAACAAGTCCTTCTCAAACAACAACCCAAAACCAGACCTATCCTAAGCAGTAGCTCTCCTGAAAATAACAAGACAATAATCCAACCAAACAACAAAATAGCTTCGATGTGCCATACAACTAAGGCCTCCTTAGTAGCCCAAGTCAACCAACAAAGCAGTAAACAGTTTGATCCCAAAGTGAAGAAATAATGCACCATTCTTTTCCTCATCTGTTATCCAATATGAATACCCTGCTAATTCTTCATAACATGGTCCCATATGCAAACCTGTTAAACTCACCACACTCAAAGATTGATCTTGATGCAAATCAAAGATTGATTGGGATTGTAAAGAATTCATGAATTAAAATTCCACTCACCACGGGTGAAAACTTCTAATTCATACTCGATTTTATTCTATTCTCGACATCTCTTTCCTTCTCCTCGTTCATCTTCTTTTGCAATTTCATTGATGTTTGTCGGAAGATAATTTTTTTCTCTATACTTTTTGTCATGTGTTAATGACAACCATTAACATGGGGATTAATTGTAAAGCTTTCATGGACCAAAATCTCAATCGCCACTAGCAAAAACTTAAAATTCATACTCCACTTCCTTTTATTCTCCACATCTCTTTACTTCTTTTGGGTAGTCTTCTTTTGCAATTTCAATATTATTGATGTTTGTTGGAAGATAATTTTTTGCTCTATACTTTTTGTCACTCAATTTACAGACAAATCGAGCTTCAGTGCTCGATGAGGCCATTGGATATCTTAAAGCTCTAAAACATCAAGTTAAAGTAATAAAATCTCTCTCCTTGGACTATTCGATGTTCTTATGTTGTGGCACTCATGTGCTATTATGGTTAAACATTATGTGATGTAGGTGATGTCCATGGTAGGAGGAGAAAGTGTTATATGCCAAGCACCATATTTGTCATCAACTCAATATCAAAGCATACAAATGCCTCATTACTATCCATCCATAGCTATGTGGCCAAGGATGGGTTTTGGAATGGGAATGAATAGCATGTCTTCTTCAAGTCTCCACTCTCACCATCAGCAACCACCGGAGTTGTTCCAATTCCCCATTTGCAAGTGTCATTCAATTCCTTGCAACCGCTGCCTGCCCCAGCTCCTGCTGCCATTGTGCAACCAGCATTCATTTCAAAGTGCTAACAAGATGTACCAAGAATGTCTACTGATGTCCAGCAACTCATGCCAATGACAAGTCAGGTTCTTTCTATATTCTTTTACCTTCCAAGAAATGGTATATATGATAAAACGCGCATATGATCACTAAAATATGTGTTTCCTCTTACTTTGGAAAGCTTCTCAATGCACACATAAAACATTTAAGTACACTAACCACATGCATTGAGAGCCTTGTACCTCTTGTAATAAACAATTGTACTATGAGTGTACTTAAATATATGTGTGCAATTGGGTTCTCCTATCACTTTGGTCCGCTAAATACTAATTTTATCAATTTTTTTACTAAATTTTTCAATTTAATTCAAATTGGTCCAACTTGAAATGGACCACCTAATTCATTAACATAATTATTATAAAATACACATTGGCCTAAATTATTTTGTCAGTTTGGTCTCTAAATACTAATGAATTAGATGAAACATAACCCAAGACTATTTAGCAACGAAATTGACAAAATAAGATGGTTGGGCAACCAAAAATGATATTGAACGCATATTTTAAGGAGGATATGTGAGGTTTTTTTTTTTTTTTTTTTGTAATTTCGCTAATTATTTGGACTTATCTGGAATTGAACAAATTTGAATCAAGTTAGAAACTTTATAGACAAAATTGACAAAGTAAAAACTTGAAAGACCAAAATGACATAGAACACATAATTTGAGAACATTTAAGATGTATTTTATCCTATTTTTCTATTTCCCTTCGCATTCTTCTCTATAATCTTTTTTTTCTCTCCACAAAGTTCATCAGAAATGAGATGATAACAACTGTTTTTTTTTTTTATTAGCAAAAGAAATCTTTATTGATGAAAAAATACAAAATATGATAAGATACATCAATAAAAAGGAGCTTGGAGCTAGCACAAGCTTCAAGCTCCAGTTGGTGAGAAACCAACAGACAAAGCAAAGCAACAAAACCAACAAACAAAATAGCCAATAGCCATTACTAGGCACAAACAGACTAAAAAAAGCAACCAGCTTCTACTCAATGGTAGACTAACACCAAGACTATTAGCAGACTAACAGATCAGCAAGACTATTAGCAGACTAGCAGACTATTAGCAAACTAACAGCTTCAACCCTCAGACCCTCTTTTTAGCAGACTAGCGGTCGCAGAACTTCTATATTTTTTTTTTTTGAACAACATAACAGAGCAACACTACAGCAGGGCAAACAAATCAGCAGAACAGAACTGAGTGGCAATCCATAACACAGTTAAGCAACCAAACAGATTAACAGAACAACAGGATAACCCCTCTAGCCATCGAAACAAATCAACACAAAACAGGACAACCAACTATACCCAACTTGACAGTTCGTCCACTACTCCTATTACCAAGTACAAAACTCAATGGAAAACCCATGATTTGGCTCTAGTTGAGAACAACATCATTAACAAAGAAGGGGAAGTCCTTGAGAGAAACTTTGAGCCAAAAAGCTAATTTGACCTTGATGAGTTCCCATAGGTCAGCCGAGTTAGGATGGACATTAGAGAAAACACACTCATTCTTATACTTCCAAAGAGACCAGAGGACATCTAGGGGAATGGCTCTCCAAAATTTTCTCAGTAGACACTTATAATTTACCCCCATTTACCAGTTGAGAAAACTTGCCACAGATATTGGGATGCACCATTGAAGACCCCATTTATGAAGCACAAAAGACCAAATGGTCCAAGAAAAAGAGCAACGTAGCAACACATGATGAGCAGATTCTGGAACAGAGTTGCAGAAGATACATGAGGTGGAATAGTTGTTACCTAGAATGCCAAGATTGTGCAAGACTTCAGATGTATTAATTTTGTTTTTCCAGGTCAACCAACCAAAGAAGTGGACTTTGGGGGGTAAGGTGTTACTCCAAATAAACTTGCTCATGCTGAGAGAAGGCCCAAGAAGAGATATGCTAAAGGAATATAAAGAAGACACAGTGAAAGTACCAGAACCAGCAGCTACAGCAGGCTAAGCTAGACTATCGACACACTCAAGACTCAATACAGAAGCAGAGGATAACAAAGCACACGGTCTAACTTCATCAGCCAACTCCCAAGCATACAAAAATCTTCTATATAGGAAGTTCCAATCACTGGAGCTAGATTTCATAGCATAAAAGTGGTAAAGGGAACCAGACTTAGCAGAAGAGAGAGTGGATAGAGAAGGGAACTCATCCTTGAAAGAAGTGACACCACACCACTTATCATGCCAAAATTTGATTCTACAGCCATCTCCCACCTTGATTAGGCAATTATCCAAGAAATAGTTGAATTGATCCTATTCTGAACCCCTATAAAGGTAATGTCCTTCCGTACCCTAGAGTGTTTGTAAGAAGATTTCATAGAAGGATACCAGCAATCTACTTCTATCTTAAATTTATTGTAGATAACTCGCCTCCATAATGCATTAGTTTGATTACCAAATTTCCACCACTATTTGAGAAGCAAACAAGCATTAACGTCCCTAATCCTCCTGATGCCCTGACCCCCTTGGGAAACACTCTTTGTTACTTCTAACCATTTCACCAAATGAACTTTCCTTTTTAATTCATTACCACCCCACTGGAAAGCAGCCTCAATTTTCTCGAAGTCACGAGCCACACCTTCAGGCATCCTAAAGAGAGAAAGATAGTACACAGGTAAACTTAATAGGACAGACTTAATCAGAGTTAATCTTCCAGCAAAGGACAACATTTTCCTCATCTATCCTGAAAGGCTTGCTCTAACATTGTCAAGCACAGGTTTCCAAGTTGATTTTCTACCTAGGTTGGCACCTAAAGGCAGCCTCAAAAATTTCAAAGGTAAGCTAAGCACCTTGCAATTCAAGAGGTTTGCAAAAGAATGCAGTGACTCATCCGCCACATCGACTCCCCATACAACACTTTTGTGGTAATTGATTCTCAGTCTGGATAGAACTTCAAAACATCTAAGGGTTCTTTTAATAATAACCACCTGATCCAAATCTACTTCACAAAAAAGAATAAAGTCGTCAACAAATTGAAGATGAGATATAAGGACCTTATTAGCTCTAATCAATACTCCTTTAAGAATGTCAAGATTAAGTGCTCTGGTAAGAAGAATATTAAGCTCTTCAGCGACAATATTGAATAGGAATGGTGATAATGGGTCTCCTTGCCTAAGGCCTCTTTGCAGAGAAAACTCATTAGTTGGTGATCCATTCGCTAGTATGGAGATCATGGCTTAAGACACACAGGCTTTCATCCAAGAGATCCATTTAGACCCAAAACCAAAACTGGATATCATGGAGAACAAGAATTCTCAGTTTACTGAATCAAAGGCTTTCTCAAAGTCCAACTTGATAATCAACCCTTGTCGTTTGGCCTTCTTCCATTCATCAACTACTTCATTAGCAATAAACACCTCATCTATGATATTCCTTCCTCCTATAAAAGCTGTCTGAGTCTCACCAATAATTGAGGGCATCACTGGCTTCATTCTATGCACAAGGACTTTTGCCAAAATTTTGTAGCATGCATAGCTTCATTGAGGTTAATTATTTTTTATTTGTTTTTGTTTTTGTTTTATGTTTTTCGTTCTACAAATCTACAAGAATTTTTTGTTGTTTTAGGAATCTGTCCTTTGTACTTCACTTAGAATAGTGCCGACAAGTCGGATAGTAAGACTTTCCTCAGGTGGCAATGCAGAGGTTGAGGCTTCCAAATTTCACAAGGTAGCATTGCCAATTCAAGTAAGTAGTTTTTTTTTTTCCTTCTCCGATCATCAAAATAGAAATTATATATTGATGAATTAAAGGGTACTAATAGTACAATGAAATTATATCAATAAACGGGATTAGGACAACTACAACGTTGTAATTTCTTTGCTCGTTATACGTTCTTTGTTTATCTTCAACAACTACAACTTGTTCTACTTTTTTATTTTCAAGAAGGAAAATTGAATTAATAAAGCTTTTCATTCGTGTCCCTAATGGTGTGGGTACGAGTCACAAAAATAATCTTTTAGAAATGGATGTAAAGTTGGATACACCATATCCTCTCAAAACCATACTCTAGCGGAAATCTCTAAACCCTACTCTAGTAGAAATCTCATGGACTGAGTTGTCTTCCATTTTGTGGTTCTCTCAAAACCCTACTCTAGTGGAAATATGGTGCATTTTGTCATCCTCTGTTTTGTTTTCTCTCTTACATTACTAGTGTGTATTTATTAATCTTAGTACTATCACTTGGATTGGATGTATTATTGGTTATGAAATAATTATATATATTTTTATTTTTTTGGCTATCTCAATGCGATCAAGAATCTGATGGATTCCTAAATCTAGATGAAGATTTTGAGTCTGTATTAAGCAAAATAATTGGTATTTGGATCAAACCTCACAATGAAGCTTATATGTATTTCATTCTTTTGATTACATTGGCTTAAAAAATTAAGTAATTATTCAGTAGTTCCAACTACAATGCAACATTTTTTTTTTTTAATCAGCAAAAAAGAGAACTTTATTGATGACAATATATTTTATATGAAATTACATCAATAAATGGAGTAGATGTGCACATAGCATCATAACAAACTATCCATTACCGGAGAGAGCCTAATCATTTGCAAGCACACCCACAAAGGATTGGTGAGGAACCAAACCCAAAAAAAAAAAACAAACAAACAAACAAACAAACCCCAATCTACCAATAGATCACAACAATAATCAATCCCAGCAGCAACCAAAATCAACCTTTCATGTATATTCTAACTTGTTGCAAATTATACACAATGTCATTTACTGAGTAATTGAACTAATAGTACAATGAAATTATATCAATAAACGGGATTAGGACAACTACAACGTTGTAATTTCTTTGCTCGTTATACGTTCTTTGTTTATCTTCAACAACTACAACTTGTTCTACTTTTTTATTTTCAAGAAGGAAAATTGAATTAATAAAGCTTTTCATTCGTGTCCCTAATGGTGTGGGTACGAGTCACAAAAATAATCTTTTAGAAATGGATGTAAAGTTGGATACACCATATCCTCTCAAAACCATACTCTAGCGGAAATCTCTAAACCCTACTCTAGTAGAAATCTCATGGACTGAGTTGTCTTCCATTTTGTGGTTCTCTCAAAACCCTACTCTAGTGGAAATATGGTGCATTTTGTCATCCTCTGTTTTGTTTTCTCTCTTACATTACTAGTGTGTATTAATTAATCTTAGTACTATCACTTGGATTGGATGTATTATTGGTTATGAAATAATTATATATATTTTTA